CTTTTCCCATATAAGCCGACTCAGCATCAAAGCTCTGAGGAAGGGGAGGCTGCAAACTAGAACGTCATCTGGAAGACGTTTCTCTCCCTGCTTGCGATGCCACGCTTCCCGGCCCAGCCCTGGCTCCCAGCCCAAGACAAACAACAAACGAATTAACTCCAACTTTGATCGGCCTGGCATCTGGCCTCGAGTCAAAGTCGTTTGGTCAAGCTCCCAAAGCAACAATGGCCGTGCCAGCACCAAGCTTGCACTGTAGGTCAACTTGCCCGTCAAGGCGACGGATACATCTGAGAACATATCAGTCTCGCAGATGACAAGACCTCGGTCACGCAAGCCTTCCAGTGCAACAGCATCGAAGTGTTCAAGGTCTGTGGCATACACAGCAGATTCAATGCCGATGGCCCTTGCTCGCAGCAACTCTTTGATAGCTTGCATTTCTCGGTCGCTACACGGAGCACCGTAGACCTGCAGCACCGCAGAGTCGTCCGCATTCTGCACGACATGGGCAGGGGGGTGCAGGATGTCGAGGGCATCTTCCACATGCGGATCCGGAGGCGGTCGACTCAACAAGCAGGCAGGATCGCTGTCTAAGACAATCTCTGGAAGTTTCTGCACTTGCGGCTCCTGCAGCAAACCTGGCTGCGTGGACTCGTCTCCCAGAGCCAAGGCCAGTTCCGCAGGCATAGCACGCCAGAGCAAACAGTTTGCACAAAAGGCTTTCAAGTTCTCTGCTGTGCACACCCGTGCCAAGTCGAGAACCTCGATCCGCACATTCGTGCACGCCACCCGCACATCTCCACCAAGGCCGTGCACGCCCTGGGAAACATCCACGTCGTGGAAACGCTGCACAACCACACAGCTGCGGCGGCCTAGCTTCGGGTCTGTGATGTGTGCAGCAGGTCGCGAAACACGAGCATCCGTTCTTGCTTCTGGCCTGGCATCCAGCACCGAGCAGAAAACCGAAGCACGATCACTTACCCGAGGGTGGACGTCGGCTCGCAGAATAGACAGCAGCACGTCGGTTCTGAAGGATGCGGCTGGGTCTTCACATCTCCGACCCCTGTCGACAAGTAGCTCAAAGACATGCGTGGACACACTGAAAAACACGCCCGTCGCCAAATGGCCTTTCAGCCAGTTCACTACCTGGTAGGAAGCACTCGGAAGCTTGAAGCTTCCGGCCAGTAACAAAGTCTGATCTCTCAAAGTTTGGCGGTAAACGGCATCAGCACGAACAGAGTCCTCGCAATCTTTGAAGTGGTCTTCCTCGCTATACCCGTACAAGCGGGAAAGCCTCTTTGGCGTCTCCATAAGTCGAACCTCTTCGTGAGTGAGCATGTGCTCCAGCAGGCTACTCCAAAGGCGCCTGCTGCGCCAATTGTTGACCAAGAAAGCGAGCTGTTTCTCATCTTCCAGCATCTCCAACACTTGATCTCTGCGCTTGCGGCTGCAGACAACTGCAGGCCCAGCCTTTGTGAGACCACGGTTTGCTGCAACCTTGACACCGACATGCTCTCTCTCCGTGTGTCGCTCGGACAAAGAAACAAAGGCATATTCCTGTACTCTCCAAAACAACGCTGGCCATCGATCAAGGGGCACGTCATCCTCCGAGTTCAGAAACTCTCGGAGCATGCGGCCTGTGTCGGTTGGTCCAAACAAAGCATGTGTAACAGAGTCTAGAGCGCCGACTTGGCCACTGGAGATCATGTTGTCAACGTTCTGAAGATGTGGCCGAAGAACCTTTTTCACTCGGCCCCAAGTCTCGCCCATATACCCCGCAAACGCTGCGGCAAACACCCATGGTACTTGCTGAGCATACGCAAGCTTTTGCTGGATAACGGCAACAAATACTTTGTTGCACGTGTCCGCCATGTGCGCCATCCGACTTGCAGTTTCACTAGAACGAGACAAGAGATGCGCAAGAACACTAATCTCGTTGTTTGTCATGGCATCTTGCAAAGCTCCCTGGAGATTACCAACCGCAAGCCAAGGCAAGCGCCTGCCTTTCCAACAACAGTTTATCTTTTCCCGGTTTTCTGGGTCTGTCAGCTGCTCCTGATGGCAGTGACAACCCTCGAAAAAGTGGGCCAGCCTGGTGGCCTCGGCAGAGAACTGATGCGTCCACACTGCCATGTCGAAATGGCACTCGTCTGCCAACGCTTCCGTCACAGCTCGAATTGTGACTGACGAGCTGTCCCCACCAAAAACAGCTGGGTTCCAATATTTCTTGAAGGTGGGATATAGAGGAACCCAAACCTTCAGCACTCTTGCGAGCGAATCCCACCTCCAGTCTAAGAGGTCATCCATCCGATGCAACAACCGTCTCTCCTCGGGGCTCGCATGCTTCATCATTCTCACAAGAATTACTTCTGAGTAACTCTTTTCTTTGCACACACGGGTGATGCTGTTCAACTGTTTCTCGAATTTTTGCCAGGTTTCAAGCTGCTTCAAGCTGAATTCCAGTGCGTTAAACACTATGTGTAGTGTTCCCGGTATGTGTAGAGCGGAATGAAAGAGCGGCAATTCACGAAAATCCTCCTGTATTGCCTCGCTCGCCAAAGCTTGAGCGCCCACAATACTCTGGACCTCAGAGCAACTGCGGACTGGAAACGATGCTATGCCTCGCTCCGTTCCTTGATCGCTTAAGAAGCCCCGAACTTCCGAACGATACGTCTCAAAGAGAGACGCACCACTCTCAACGGCAATCATATGTACCATCTTGCTTGCCTTCGAAGCTGTGCTTCCTTGTCCTCTCGCAATTGTTGTACACAACATCGAACGCCTCTGGTGTTCAAACCCTTTGAAAGGAGCTACATTTCCACCCGCATCCCTTGGAAGCTCGTCGGAACGATAGAGCAGCAACTCTTCTGTCGCACAAAAATAATCATAATTCGCTTGCGGGGAACTGTCAGGACTGATGTACCTGACAATTCGCAGCGACTTGTCTGCCCCACCACCTGGTGGGGCAAGGAACCGGCGAGACAAGGAATGCAAGGCATCAAGCTTTAGCAAGATATTCCGCACATGCCCATGCGACACTTTCATGTTGTCTGCCAGACCTAAACTATCTGGCACTAACATTCGAAGGACGGTGCGAACCACATCTTGAATGCCTACCGTTGAGCTGAGCTTGTAAGCGAGCTTTCCCAACAGGATTTCTTGCATGGCCGGCCTGCGCACTTTCTTCATCTCGCAGGAGGAAGAGGAACCACTGTCGGCACCATCACTGGGGCTTCCTTCTGCCGCAGCAGGAACGGTTCCGGGCAACTGGTGCCCCAAAGAAGTCACAAGCCCACCAGGAACCACGAACTCCTTGCCTATCTCCATCAAATGCTTCATGACAGTTGGTGGCAAGCGAACCATCCAGAAAGGACGCCCTAGGTAACGCCTCGCAGTGCCTACTTCAGGCTCCGCCGCCTGTCCGTCTGCAAAGCAAGTGTAAAGGCCCTGGCGATCTGCAACGGCTTCGAAGATGACGCTTGGCGCAGCAGCTTGAAAAACCCATTGCGCTTGCCCTGCAGGCAAAACCGCCAACCTGCCAGCCAAGGCGGGCATCGCAGGAACAGGAGTCACCGCACCCTGGTTAGCAGCTGCAGGTGCCCGGCACAAGGCACCTGCCACTGCAGCCTGGGCAGGCCCCAACTGGACAGCTGCCCTGAAACGAAAAAGAGACTTCAAACAGCACTTGAACATCTGGTTTCGGGTTGTCTGGTTCTGGAGGGACATCTGCTTAGCGGCGAAATCTCGATCGCGACGTTTCTGATGCCGAGCTCGCCAAGTATCTTGCTGCTGCAAGTGCTCTTGGGCACCCAGCGGCTTGATGCATTTTTCCCCAAGCTCAGCAACACACAACAAATAATTCCCTGCAGCAGCGGTGCCCAGAGATTCTGATTCGTCGCCACAGGTTTTCACATACAGAAACAAAACCTCTGCACGGGAAGCATTTCGACATTTGGCCCTATATCGACGATTCCGCAGGGCACCTGCAGACGTGGGAGCTTCCTCGGCCTCTGACTCGGACTCTCTGTCCTCAAGCTCACCGTCCCCAGGATCTGGAAGCCTAAAGATGGCAGGCTCTGCCATAGCACTATGACACTACACAACGAAAACCAATGTAACACCTCAAGCAAGCTAGGCTATGCCTACTGCCTACGCCCTCTTGCAAGATTGGATGATAAGTTGTCAAGCTGTCACTGTCACGTGAGTCATGAGCCTGAACTGTGCTGCGATTCGGATTCCCAATTCCCAATCGAGTTTCGGCCCGGCGGCTGAGAAATCGCGGAATTCGAGTTCATAAAACAGCCGACAAAGTCAGGAAGATATGCTTGCTTGCGGTTTGCAGTTTGGGTTGGCTACATCACAAGTTGTAGGTTTGTAGCTTTCACGACGATTTTGTTCCAAAACGTGCTGCGTTTTCTTGGGAAGGGACGGTACTTGTTTGGAGAGGCTGTTGTTCTTGTGCTGACTGATTGATGGAAAAATAATCAAACCCTACTACAACAAATCATTTTCAAGTCCAGGGCTTGGAACCCATGCTCCAAATGCCCTGAACCCCCTTGCGCGTCCCGGCCCCCGGGCCTAGATGAATCACTTATACGCGGGGCCTCCGACCACATGTGGCGGATGATCGCCCGGACGACTGGCTGCTCCGCCGGCGTCACTTTGTATGTCTTCCCGGCGATCTCGTCGCCGTCGCGGAACGGCTGGAAGACCCTCGCGTCCACGTCGGACCACTCGTCGGCGACGAGGGCGAGGGTCGCCGTGCGGTTGAGAGACCGCGCCTTCAGGTAATCGACGAGGTCCGGACCCGCCCCCGCCGACGTGGCGAGGTCGTCGAAGTCGGTCAGGACGTCGGCGACGAGCTGCGGACCCATAGCCATGATCACGACGAGGGGGCCGGCGGGGATGACGGGCGGTGCGGTCAAAGGCGGGCTGCGGCACGAGAACAAGATGCACTATGCGCAGCGACGGGCTCACCAAGTGCACGGCCCCGCTCCCTTTTATCAGGACGACGAAGAATCGTCGGAATCTGAGCTAGATGCCACTGGGGAGGCTGCCTCCTCCGTCGGCGACCCGACACCGTCAGCCGACGGGGCCTTCGGAAAGCACCTAAGGCACTTGGCGGCTCCCGCCGGTAGCTCGGTGATCCTATAAAAACTCCGGACGCCGTATGGCCAGGAACAACCCCGCGCTTTCCACAGAAAGCGGTCCGACGAGGCCTCCGTCGGATCAGGGGCGTGAGCCCGTTTTTGCCGCTCATTGTAAATGAGGTGCTCCGGCGGCGCGACGGCGACCTGCTTCACCGTCTCCGGTCTGACGGGGCCGGGCTCGAACGCGACCGTCGGGGAGTGATCCTTGTGCGGCGGCGTTTCCACCTGAGCCGGCTCTCCATCCTCCAGGGCCAGCGGCGGCTGATGGCCGAGAGCCGGTGGAGCCTTGGCCTGCGAGATGGCGCCGCCATACGCCGGCCGGACGCTGACTATCTCGACGTCATCCGCCAAGATGCGCCGAGGGACGTCCGGGGCGACTGCCAGCGGCGCCGCCTGGACGTACCGCTCGACGGCGGCCGACGACCATCGGCCCAGTAAGTGGATGATGGGCGTGTTGACGCCTTTGGACGCCAGCCACGCTGCGCCGGCCACCCGTGCCAAATGGCCGTTGAAGAGCTGGACGGTGGCGCCGTTGTGGTCGGTGGTGGTCAGCTGGATCCCCGCCGCCAGCAAGACCCGCCGGAAGAAGAGGACGGTCTCTGACTTCTCCCAGGTGTCACCGGTCCCGTCGGGGAACAGGGGTGCCCCACGCACCCACCGTCCGGCACGCCGAAGGCGGGAAACATGGCGGAGCGCCGCGTGGTAGGGGCACAACGGCGCCACGGTTGCCCCGCAAGCGCACCGTAGCTGGCGTTGGGTCAGCTCGACCTCGCCGCCGGTCGCGGTCTTGTGCAGGGGAAGCCGGAGGGCGACGGTGCCGTCGGCGACGTCAATGTCCTGCGTCCGCGCCGCTGAGAACTCGATCTCGCGGAGCATGAACCACACCGCCAGGATGAGGGCGTCGACGGCGTGTGCCGTGACCCACGGGCTCCACGCGTCGGCTCCCGGCGGGTCCACCCTGGAGACCAGGGCCACCAGGCGGTCGACGGCGAAAATGGCCTTCAGCTTCGAGCCGGGCAAGCCACGGACCACTGCCCGTGCATAGCGTCGCATGGCCCGCCGGATGAGGGGGTCGACGGCCTCGCCGCGAAACTGTTCCTGGTATGACACCGCGGCGTCGAAATAGTTCTGGACGGAGCGATAGCCGCCTCGACGGAAGGTGGCGGGGAGCGACGGCCCAAGTCTCGCACGCTTGGGGTGCCTGGGACGACTTCGCCAGGATGTTCTCGTCGATTTCCGCCAGCGCCGCCTCCCTGTTCTCCGGGAGGGCTGCTTCAAAGGCGGTGCGTTTGCACGCTCGACGGGTGCCCTCCTGAGCGGAATGTCCTTCCGCTTTTCCGAGGGACCGTCGCCGGGGGCGGGATTGGTCCGCGAACCGTCGCCGCGACCACTACTGGACCGTCGGTCGGTACTACGGCCGTCGCGGAGGGCCCTATCGCGGGCCCTGCCGGCACGATCTGAGTTGACGGGGCCGGTCTGAGGACCGTCGCCCCTCTGGCTGGCTAGCCGAGGCGGTGGGAGGGTCCCCCTCCCGACGGGACCTCCAACCGGCGAGTGCCTCGAGGGCTGTGGCCGGGACGCCAGCTGTGAGTCGACGTCCACGGCGCAACAGGGGCAAATGGTCGGATGCCCCCAGCTCGACGAATGCCCTCACCAGCCGGCCGAAGTCCGCCGTCTGTCCACGGCGGGGCCGCATGGGGCCAAAGGGTGCCTAGGCGTGCGCCGGCCTGGGCGCCTCGAGCCAACCGAACCTCCTAGAGAAAAAGGTAAAAGAAAAACAGGTGCACGACGAACGACGGGCAAGCATGAGAAACTGCACTGCGACGGCCTCCCTCCTCTCTCGCGCCGGTGGCGCCTGATCGGCTCTGAGTCGGGCCCTGGGCGATTACAACGCCGGGCAGAAAAGGCATTAAATTAATGCGTCGGGAGAGGCCCGCGAAGGCTTCACCGACGCACCCCCTGAGGCTTGAATTCCCACGTCGCCAGCGACAAGGCCGTCGGTGAGGTCGACCTTGTAGAAGACGGCGACGGTGAGATAGCGACGGGGGCCGGCCGACCGGGATCACCGGTGCCGGGACTGCTCGTGGCAGTCCTCGCACTCATGGTGGTCGTGGCGATCCAAGTCGACGGTGCCGCCGGCCCGAATCAACACCGGACGGAGGCATCTGCCGGGAATGCCTCGGCAGCGACCGTTGGTGCACGGGTGCCCACACCACCCGACACACCAGATCTCGCCGGGGATCTTCTCCGGAATGCGGCCTCCCCGGACGCCGGGCGGCAGCGCTCGCAGCACATAGTAAGCCGCTGCGGCGGCCGCCGGTACCATGGCTGTGGAACCGTCGGCGGCGGCCCTCTCAATGTCCTCCAAGTGCTCCAGGTTGGCGACAGTGAGGGGCCGGAGCGTCTCCGGCACCGGCACGTCGGACCTCACGCCGGACTTGCCCATCAGCTCGACGTGGTCGCGCCACTCCTGCGAGCAAAGCACCCGGCGGATGTGAGCCAGACGCCGGTACTCGCGCCTGTGGCGCTCGAGCTCGGCGGGGGAGGCGTTCTGCCCCGGCCGCCGGGGAAGGATGGGGAAGCCGGCGCCAGTAATCGGATCCGCGTCGGGATACATCTCTCGCGGCGTCGGTGTGGGTGCCCTGCGAGATGCTCCCGACGGAGCCGGCGGCGACGGTGCCGGCGCTGCTGGCATCGCCTTGACCTGGGGCTCGACGGTGCGCTGCTGCCGCGACTCCTCCGCAAACTGCCGGCGAAGCTCCTCGGCGATGCGGTCCTGGTATAGTCGACGGGCGCCGGCACCGAGGTCCTGGACGGGGCCGGCGGAGCTGCCGGCGCGACCGTCGGAATCACCGTCGACGGGGTGATCCGATCCGGCAGTACCGTCTGGTAGCGCCGGTAGTACTCCTCTGCCGTCGGGAGGTGGTGCTTGTAGGCCAGCTCCGCGTCGGTGCGACAGAGGAACCCCAGCTGGTCCCACATCTGCGGCGGGCCGCCTTTCGGCACCGACGGCGCCGGGCGGGTGGGCTTCTGCGGGTATCCACCACCCGATGGCTTTCCTGCCGGCGGCATGTCTGCCGAGGACGACGGTGCGCCGGCAACCCCCGCGTGCGCCGAAGGAGGCGCTTGATGTCGTTCGACGGGAGGTTCCGGGCACAGGTCATCCGACGGCGACGGAATGGCCGCCGCTGCTCCAACTGAACTCGCCGGTGTCACCCTCGACGAGTCGCCATACACGACGGGCCCTGGGGCGGCGGCTGGACTGTTGATCGCCGACACCAGGGCCCGCCGTTCCAATCCGCTCCACTCGGCGAAGAGCTGACTCAAGTCATCGCCGGCGGCGACGGCACGTCGGACCATGTCGAGGGCCGCGACGACGTCGGCAGACTGGAAGGCCATGGCGACACGAGGATCTAACGGCGAGCTGAAAAATCGTCGGGGGACGTGGAGCCAGCAGCAGCTGCGGCATCCACGTCGATTCGACGGTTGTCCCTACGCACATGAATGTGCTACACGACCATCATGACAATGACGTGACGATCGCAATGAGAAAGGCAATGATGCTGATAAGGAGGATGATGATGATGATGACGCGGCTGTTGATTCTGGTGACGAGGAGAATGGAAATGAGGAGTGCTAGGATAAAGAAACGACGGTTGTATGATGGCGAGAATGGTGTCCACAGCTCGGGCAAACGACTACCACAGGTCTCTGCAATACTGGTAACACGCATGTCGACTTTAATATGTTATATGTTTTCCTACTACTGACTGTAACGTTCACAATTTTTTTCTACTGGGAAAGTACTAGCTCTGCTCTGCATGCTTGTTCAAAAGAGAAGCGTCCAGTTCAAGGACTGTGCTTAACCTCGCGAGTATCTAGTGTAAAGTATTCTGATTGTAAGATGGCAAAATCATTGTAAACTCAATCTCTGCTTTTCCCGAAGCTCTTTAAATCGAGCACCAAACTCTGAACCTAAAGCCCATGCAAGCCCGAACCCACGAAAGGAAGGTGAAGCAAGATGTATAATGCCTCGAAAGGAAGCGGTGAACTCTAAACGCCCTACAGTAGGCCCTAAAGTACATCCTGGAAGGTGCAGCGAGTTTGTGGGAGTGTCGGATAGCAGGGATTTACATGCCAAACCCGAAATCTGAAGCCGAAATGGAAGCAAGATTGCAAGCCTCACCGGTAGAAGCAGAAGCAACAAGCATCACAATGTCAAGGACTGGGGAGTGGCATTGCTGTGCGGAGTGGAACAACCCTAAACCCGAAAGGAAATGCTTAGCAGCTTAGCAAAACACTGTACCAAAAAGAGTCGCAAGTCAAAAGGAACACCCTAATTAGATGTCGGATAGGCACGCAGACCAAACAAAATAGAAAGGATGCGATCGGAATCAAAGTTGCCTGTTTTGTTGCTGGATACAAGTGCATATTATGATGTGGATCTCTGGCTCCACTTGACCAAGTTTCCATGAGACGTGTATTCCCCTGAATCGGCCCTGCTCTGATTGCCGTGTTTGAAGCCGGTCAAGCAACAAAGACCAAGGCAACATTGGCCAGGCACTGAGGTGTCAACTCCTGAGTGTTTCAAGCTTTGGCACTCACAAGTTCGGGTCGGAACATGTCTGCACTCTTCGCAGAGTCTACGCTCCTGCATCAAGCGCAGCGCTGTGCTTGAAATCTCGGCGCACATCGCAGAGCTTCCACGCTCGGCCATGCCGAATGCCCACGCGATCCTGAACATGTCTTGACGCGAACGAGGAACGGCTTCGTATCATTGAGTGGGGATACGGGTCTATCAGATATATTAAACGCATCACAACGGAAGGGGAGCTGAAACTTCGGGGAAATTTCGCAAAATCGACCGTCTCTCACGTGCATGACAGGGCACATTGAAAGGTCGACATGGCGAGCCTCTTGCACCTCGGTCACTGTCAAGCAGTCAGGTTCTCTGTAGGCCTTCACCATGCCGCGTTTTCTCCACGATCACACGCTGGCAGCACATGACATGACATGATAAGATGGTGCCTTGCGCTGCACCACTGTCTCCATGGCCGTCCAGAAGTCCGGAACCTGCTGCACCATCTCCAGTTTCGTAAATCCCCAGCCTGGACCAGGGTCACTTCGCTTTCCGGCGCTCTGGGTTTTCGCTCTTTCGCTGCGAAATCTTCGAGTGGAAGGAGTGGGCGGCTCTCGGATGCACTCTCCTCGAACTCTCGAGCGAGTCTGTCTCCCCGCCATCTCTTTGATCTTGCTTGACTCTCGCTTGCCAGGTGGGAGCGTGCCCAAGGCCCCCCCCCCCCGCACAGCGTTTGGAGGTCCTGCAACGCAAACGACCATAATAAAGACCAGTGCCCTAATTGATGGAACTGATAATGGCCTGCGGTGTGGGTGCTGGGACCCCTCCCCTCCTCACTTCCTGGGGACCTTCTGCGGTACCGGAGGTGGTCACGGTCTGCGGCATGTTGTAGCTCCCCGGTGCATCCGCGGGGCTGGAATTGACCAAGGGGTACTTTCAACACCCAGCCTACCTTTGTTTCTGCTAACCGTAGCTCCTGCCTTTCTTGGTGCTCCGGCCCTCCTTTGTGCTCTGTGCCGGTCTCTTGCGGGTCTTCTCGGTCGGGAAGGTCCCTGAACTCTGAACTGTTTGCCGACTCCACCTCTACATGATCTTTTTTTGGCAAGCGGCAGATCTTGGCGACGTCCGTGGCACCGAAGTGTGCTGCCTGCGCGGACGACAGCATGGTTGCAGGGCAGGAAACTGCAGCCCCAACTGGCCGACAGAGTCGATGCAGTGCAGTGCAAGTGAAGCGTCTGGGTGAGCATGACTACGCTCTGAGACCTTCTTCGTCGACTCCGATGCAAGGTCCAGCAGAAACGCCTCCTGAAGAAACATGACAGGGCCATGTTTTTCCAATAGACGGCCTCTCGAGCCTCTCTCCATGCCAGTTTGGCACTTGCGTATGCCACCATGGACAGACCCCGCGGTTCCTCGGAAACGGCATCGATGGCTGAAGGCGGAAGTCTTAGAAAACACAGGCTCAGCGTTGTGGTGCCACGTTGTCCTTGCTGGGGCTTGCAGCCAAGCATCCAAACTTGTAATCGCCTGTGCAAAGCGTGTGGGGAGAGTTCGCCATTTGAGCTAGGCTTTGCTCAGTACAGGGAGGCCCGGCAAGAGATTTGCTGCCGCTACACGCTGGAGCTCGGAGCACCCGACCTGATGGAGCTTCTCCTGCAAAGCCTTCCAAATTGGCCGGGGTGGCAACCTTCGCAGACTTTGGATAATGTTTTCTTGGATGGTCCAAGAAAGACAAATACGGACAACCACAAACAAACAAAGACAAATACAAACAATCCATGATTTCTAAAGACAAATAAAATGCATCTCGATTTCAGACCCTCCATTATTATTCTTCGTTTTCAACCCTCGAGGGTTTTCAACTCCAGGGAAGTAAGTCTTGGGTTGCCCACAAGGAATGGAAATCACTCTGGACGAGCGCAGAAAAGCATATCATGCACACATCTACACAACAAACATCCTCAAGCTGTGGCCTCTCACCCGCCAGTTTTGCACCAGTGCAGAACGCGATGACGAGGCTGCCTTCGTCGAAACGCGCCAGGCCGTCCTGAGCAGGCAAGCCAAGGTGAGAGACTTAACGATGTTGTTGTTTATTGGTTTGTATATATGTTACAATCGAAAAATGACTGCTCTAGAAGCGTCCTGCACGATGTCCAACAGCTCCGAGAAGGAGCCAGCAGCTCTAATCCTCTTGGAACCACATATGACAAGGAGCGAATCTGATCCGGCCTACGCGGATCGTCAATTAGTCGATGTAAGTTGCATTACGCTGCTGTCTATCATGTCGTGTTTCTCCTGCTTGGGATACTGGATTAGTTTGCAGATGTTTCCTGCGTCATGGATGCCAGCTGTTTCGCAGGTTTTCGAATCTCTAACAGGTCTTGAGAGCTTCACCCCGAACTCCACATGTGATGCCACAGACAGTACCAGCAGCAGAAAGTTTCGAAACCGCCGGTGCCTGGCATCTGCAGCCTTGACGACATCACTTCGGCCACCGACCGAGGCAAAGATCGGTGGCAGCGAGCTTCGCGTCTTGGGGAAAAGGCCTGGGAAAGAATGAAGTGATTTCCCTCCACATCTTCATTTATGCGATCAGTCTTTGATGGCTGTTGAAAAGTTCGGCTGACTGCGTTGCCAACAGGAAGCTCCCGTAGAAGCTGCTCGCGCTGGGCTCTGTTCGCGAGGAGCCTGACATGGAGCCCTCGTCTGTAGGAACAAGGAATGGCGACAAGTTCGATGGACTAAGGCTAATTCGAGGATTTGCTGAAACCGCCGCATTTGAGGAGCATTAGAGTTCTGCGGAATGTCAGAAAACGAGTGTCTGGAACTTTTGACATTTCAACAAGTTCGAGATTGAACAATAGCTTGGAAGCGTGGCAACCAGCGCGAGCTTGCTAAGTTGGCGCTCTTGGCAGAATCATCATCTGGTGAACTTCATTCGGAGCAATGTCCAACCCAACTTCATGTCGACGAAGTCCGATATTCTAGGGAATTCGACTGTCTGAGAAACCAGTGCCCGGCAGAGCGTGCAAATCACTTTATGTGACTGAATTTGAGAGCCCCAGAGAGGCCACCAGCCCACGCTTTTGCTTGCCCTACGCGACATGGATCCGATCAAAGAACGCAAGATGTTAAGCCTGTTGTGCCGCCGTCGTGGTAAGCGGGCATGATGCACAGTGGTGCATTGCTGCATCCCGCGACCTTCCTTTAGACGCAATATTGGAGACCTTAGGTATCACCCATGCAGCATATGGGAAGCATGTAGCTTTGTTCTGTCACACGGATTGCAAAGTAGCATCGATTGATTTGATGCTTGAGCCTGAGTTGTGCTGCGCTCACCGCCCAGCCGAAGACATCATGCTGTCGCAAAGGCCTCGACTGACACCATCACTTGCTCCACGCCCGCCGGCAGTTTGACCTGGACTCGAAGCAACCCAGTCCTCAGTCGCTGAGGTGGAGGAGGCGTAGCTGTCCTGCACGTTGGAGTCGGAGCCACTGCTCCCCCTCTCGCAAAACAGTGCCCGCTCGGCCCGCTCGGAACAACTCAAGCTGCATTCGCACGACCAAAGCTCCAGGTCAGCCGGCGAAACGGTGTCCCTCCAACAACACAAGCGCCCGAGTCCTCAGACGAAGACACGCCATATCTGTCCTGCATGGCACTCTGGAGCGGCAGCGCACCCACCAAAGACACGGCGAGGCTGCTGCACAACGCTGCTGCCTATCGGATCTTGTCAGTATGCATGTGACCCACTCGAGATATTCATGGCGTGTACCAGTGTACCGGTAGAAACACTCAGAACATCCGAGAACCGAAAAGTTC